CTGGGGGAGGCAGGAAATATTAGTTGTGTGAGGTAGAAGGGAAAACATGAAACAAAGGTTAACTTGCAAGAGGAATGGTGAGGCAGAAAATATTGTGTGAGGTAGAAGGGAAAACATGAAACAGAGGTTTACTTGCAAGAGGAATGGTGAGGCAGGAAATATTGTGTGAGGTAGAAGGGAAAACATGAAACAAAGGTTTACTTGTAAGAATAATGGGGAGGCTGGGGGAGGGAGTGTGTATGTGTGTGTTAGAGTGTGTGTGAGTGTGTGTGTGTGTGTGATTGTGTGTGTGAGTATATGTACGAGTGAGAGAAAGTTGAAATGATACTGATTACAGTTAGGGTTTAGCAGAAAGCCATTCATCGATGAGGGAGATTAGTGCGTTTATCAACACCGAGAGATAACAATAGAAAAAAAAATACAAAAAGGTTTTAAGGGGAGATAATTAAAATGATTTAAAAATAGCAGGCTTAAGAAAGGTGTGATGGAAGAATCTGTTCCAGGGGAGGATTGTGTGTGGGTTGGTGGGGGTGGGGAGGGGTGGGGGTGGGGTAGAGGAGTAATGTGAAGGGAGTTAATAAAGAACAACAGGGGTGGGGGAGTGTTGATTTACAGCTGCTAAAAATACATTCTTTTGTTTAAATATTTGAGCCATCCGCGTCAGTCGCCATTTTATTCCATGTTGTTCTTTTGTTCGGCCCCGCCTTCATCAGATGGAACATTAAAACACGCGCAGGGGTTGAGAGAAGTGAGCCGTGGGTCATCTCAGGTTTAAAGTACAGTGTCCTCATTTGTGGACACGGGGGGGGGGGGAGTAGAGGAACAATAGTACTGACCATCACAATCACCATCACAATCACAATCACCATCACAATGAACATCAAAATCACCATCGCAATGACCATCACAATCACCATCACAATCACCATCACAATCACCATCACAATCACCATCACAATCACCATCACAATCACCATCACAATCACTATCACAATCACAATGACAATCAACACTGCAATGACCATCACAATCAGCGTCGCAATGACCATCAAAAAGGCCATCACCAACCACCACAATAGCATCGCGATAAGATTTACTGTGACCAGCACCGTGACCTTCGCAGTGATTAGCACCGTGACCTTCACAGTGTCCAGTACCACGATCTTCACAGTGACAAGCGCCATGACGTACATAGTGACGACCATGACCTTCACAGAGGTCAGCACTATAACCTTCACAGTGACCAGCACCATGACCTTCATAGTCACTAGCACAATGACCTTCATAGTGACCAGCAATATGATCTTCATAGTGACTTTCAGGGGGTAAAAGAAGGAAAGTAATCCATCGTTGAGACTGGCAACGATTTCGCAATCAGCAGCCTCCCAACATTTACTGACATATTCGTGAATTCAGTGCCCAGTTGAAGTCTCCGTAAATTTACTGACATATTTGTTAATTCGGTGAGTTTTATCCGGCCTAGTTGAAGCCTCCCTATATTTAATATTCGTGAATTTAGTTTAACTTTATCAGGCCTAGCTGCATAGAGAACTGTAGTGACCTTAATGTGTGTACTTCAGCGTATGGAATTTAAAGACACACTGATTAAAAGCAGATCCCCCTGCCACCCCCACATCGATGGCTTACATAACTTCACACAAAAAACGTTAATATCATTGCAACACAATCCATTAGAGTGCCAAGAACATTTCAAATCATTTATTTTTTGGTGCAGTTATTAGGCTAATACCAAATTTTTAAAAATGTCATTGTTGTTTCATCAATGTGAACTGCAACTCGTGATGTACTAAGCTATTTTTAGCTCCTGAATTTTTGAACTGCACAGTAAAATGTTTTAGAATTTTTTTTTGTAAATTTTTATATTTTAAAGCACGTTATTAAAATTCAGTTTTTTTTTTGTTTTTTTTGTTGTTGCTTATATACATAAGATTGTAATAATTTTTAAAAATAAAATAAAAATGAGCTTCATTTTGTTTTTGGTGTTATCTTTAATCACCTGTAGTTTTATTTTTTCTTTCGATTCAAGCCAAACTCAAGCAACAAATGAATCAGGCGAGTTTTTAAACAATTGATCTGGCCAGCTCCGTCTTGCTGGGTTGGACTTTCTGGCATTTTATTTTTCAAAATGTCATCTTAGCGGGCTTCGTCATCAACTTTAATTAACGCAATTATCCCAAAACTTTGTCACGTGATCAATACGGCTTATAATTAAACAAATGATTTTTACGTAGAACAAAAAAAAATTGAACGAAGTCGTGGAATGAACCTAGATCTACATGATATTCGCAAGGCTTTCAATTATCTTCACGCACAGAAAGCCTGGTTTAATTTTTTCCTCCGATCTGTGACCCCAGTGGAATATGTAGAATAAGGAATATGCCTCGTATTGTATTTATTCAAATATATAAAAATATTTTCGGTTATTCGATAATATAACTATTCTGTCATGGCATTCTAAAGCATTTTTCACCAAATTTTACATATACTAAAAAAGAAAGCAGCCCTCACACCCAGTATAGGATATCTAAAAATTCTTCTTAAGACGACGATTGCTGAAAAAAAAAACAACTTAAAATATACAAAACAAAATTTATTTATAAATTTTCGATCATTTTATAAACACATTTTTTGCAAGTGTTTTCGTCGAAAAACGAACCGCCTGGGGTCAGTTTTTAAAAATTGACAGGGCGCCAAACGAACAGCACACGCAAGTCTTCACCCCTCAGGGGAGCCTACTAGCACCAACGATCGAACTTTTTAACACACATTTCATTCGTCGGTGAGAGAAAAAAAAATTGAAATCGCTTGACGTCCTCTTTACGCTCTAGGTACAGTTCAGCATCGCGATGACAGCGCTGCATCGAGAGAGAAAAACATTATCAGTGTCGTCCATCAAAGCTGCTGATATGATTTATTTTTCCATTACAATGTCATCGCCTATCAAATGAAATACAAGTCAGAAATTATCGGGCGCAAGAATGACATGTTTAGATACAAACAAGGGCAGTAATCGAGTCATGTGAGAAATCTATTTATAGATCTTGTTTAGTTTATCAGGGAATTTGATGTATGTGTAAAATTGAATTCGATTTGTTTTTGGCTTGCTTCTCGAGAAAAATCTGGCCGTAACGTACAATAATTTATAAAACAGCTCATTATATTTATTATTACATTTATAGTAATCTAATTTATCATTAAATTGCACTTCTGCTTTTGTTTTAAACTAAGAATATTAGTCCCATGTCACATAAATATAATTACAATTCATGGAGAGTTGTTGAAGATTAAAAGTATTTTGTTATTTTATCTCTGGACTGCCTATGGTATATAAATATTAATTTTATAAAAACAATATCATCAGTGGGTTAAGAAAAAAATGTTTTTCAAATAATGTCTTAATTTTTTTATTCCTGAAGATTAAATTTGATAAAATGAAAAAAAAATGTAGATTTTCTTTTCAGAAGCAACAGATCGCATAAAGGGAAGCAACTCTTCAGATGTTACAACTTGCATGCTGGTGTATTCATTTACCACTAACCATAACTGTAACTATCGTAAAAACCTATACTTAGTCCAAGCTTTATTTTATTTTAAACGGAGCGTAAAATAGAGTTATCAAATGATTAATTTATTATGTGTATCACAAAGAATGCTATAATAAACATGGTCAGAACAGCAACTTTATTCAACTGTTTATTACAGAATAAGGAATTAAGTTAAAGGATAATCGAGTACTTCTACAAACGGAAAGTTGGATCTAAAATATTTCTGTAATTGTGCCAGGAAAATTTTTAACAAATTGTTTGATATTAAATCTTCTGATTTGGTTAATCTATTGGCAGCGGCCCAGGGGCAAAAAACTCTTGCAGTAATGTACACTAGCATTTCAAGGGAAGAAACTCATGCGATTGATGTAATTGGTAAAGCTACATTTACTCTGCTGTTAAATCATTTTTATAACATAAACAAATGAGCTCAATGTGTAATCTCAAACAATGTTATATAAAACAATAACTTACATCTACTATAACAAAAACAGCACAGATAATAAAAAAAAAGACAACGATATTGAGGCTCATTGGCCAATCAATCCCTTTTTAATTGAAGTACTCGGGAGAAATAAAAAAAAAACGGACGCCTTTAGTCATTTTGTTTTCAAAGATTTATTCTGTATTCAAATTTGAACGGTTTCCAGTCAAGAAGTAAATTTATAACGAGGTGCTTTTATTTCGAAAAACCTTTTAAGGTATTTGAAAGTTTAGTTTTATCAAGAACAAAAATGTTTGAATGAAGACTACTAATGTGATTACCTAAGGTTAAGGTTCAAAGGTTAAATTTAAATCGACGAGTTTAAGTCTCCTAGTGAGGCAGTACTAGACAAGAGGAAGACAAGCGGTTCTCAAACGTGACCGTGTACCCCACACGTGGGTACACATCACTTTACTCTAACAAGTAGGCCTACAACTCAAGGCAGGATAAGCGTACATGTCCTTTACAAATAATTCATTAGAACATGAAACAAATAAATATCTATAATTACAATATTGGATATAATTTGCACTAATAAAAGCTTATTAAATAATTGTTTTTTTTTTGGAAAAATGTCTAAACACAGCATTTCTTATATAAAGTGTATATAAAGATCTCATAAAACATTGGGATGCGTCTTGATTGTGTTGCAGTTAAATAAAAATAACATTTTTTGTTTTGTTCGATATATTAATAAAAAAGTATATATATATATATATATATATATATATATATATATATATATATATATATATATATATATATATATATATATATATATATATATATATATATAGTAACGTTTCCAAAAAATTTTAACACAGAACCACAAACATAATACGCAGCTGAGAAGACACCCAGACACCAGTCTACACCATTTAGTGTCACCAGACAGCAGACCCCAAACAGGGACCAATATTTCCGTTAACGTTTAAGTCCTCATTAGCTCA